TTGTTATTTATTTTCTATGATGTTCAATGAAGTGCACACATATGTTTATACAAAATATTTTATAAGTTTGGTTTACTTTTTTATTTTTCATTTATTTATTTATTTATTTTTTATTTGTGAACATACTGTACAGAGGGGTTACAATTACATGGGCAGGATAATGCATACATTTCTTACCAAGCATTGCAGCCTCCTCCTTTAGTTTACCCTTCACATCCCTTCCTAGCCTCACCCCTCCCCCCTCCCTCACATTTCTTAATTTTGTAGGCTATGCACTGAAATTTTTACTGCATTTTCCTCTTCCCACTTTCTTCTCTTCATTTCTCTACCCATCTCCTCTTAACTGCACCACACCAGTCTCCTAGTGTTTGTTGTCACTGTAGGTGACTTTTGATTTAGCCTTTCGAAGGAAGACGTGCTTTTAACTGTCCTCAAAACACACACACACACACACACACACACACACACACCACCACCACCACCAACAACAACAACAACAACAACAACAACAACAACAATTATTATTACTCTTATTCCTTTATCTAGTACTTTAGATTCTTTGGGAAATAGTAAGAAGTTTTGAGGGGTAGAGAAAGTTAAACTTTCCCTCGTTTTCTTTGTTCAGAGATCCTGTCAAAAGCAAGGAGGCTCAGGACATGTCAGTTTTGTGTTTTTCTTAAGGAAGAAACCTCTAGAGCTGGAAGTCAGTGGCTAAAATCTGTAATCCTAGCTTCTCAGGAGGCTGAGATCTGGGGAATGGTGTTTGAATACAACCTTGACAAACATATCCTTGTTACTCTTGTTGCCAGGCAACCAGCAGGACCTGAAAGTAGAAGCATGGCTCAAGTGGTAGAGTGCCACAATTGAGGAAAAAAGACAAGAGCACAAGGCTCTGAATTCAAGCCCTGCTACAAGAGTTCATAGACAAACACACACACACACACACACACACACACACACACACACAAAACAGGAACACAAAATCTTCCTTTTTTCCCTCTTAGTCCATATGAGACATAAGACATCCTCACAGGACAGTAACAAGAAATGATTATGCTCTATGAGAATGTTAGGCTCTAGGAAACATTTTTTCCTTTTTAATTCTCTGGGGGTTACTTGGATTTGAACCCAGAGCCAAGAGAATAATAAACAAGTGATCAACCACCGACTCATACTCAAGGTCCAAAATATTTCTGACTTTTCAAATTACTTTCACTTTTATTTTACTATAACAATTGTATGAGATACAAAGAAATAAAGAAACAGTGACATCAAATTATCATTAATAGTAATTGGAACACTCATCATCTATCTGACAATACTAGGTTTTCTAAACCCATCTGAAAATATGGGATTCTGTCCATGTCCCTAAAATGAATAGAAACACCTGGACCACTGTTAGCAGATGCCTGTTTAATTTGTTGTTGAAGAGGTGGAACATCTCAGTTACCCTAAACCTTGATTTCTTTCTAGTGATGTAAACTTTCCTGGAAATGAATACTTTCCTAGGATTATAACCTTCAAGCTAAAAATTTTGTGTTCTGAAAATTCTAAAGAGCCCTAAGATCTATAGTAGCATAAATGTTGAATCCACTGAGAACAACAATCCACCTGAGCTAGGAGACATTTCAATAATAGCTCTAGTCCAAAGCTCTCCTACTATCTTGACGTTTCCTCCAGCTCTAAGCGAGGAATAAAAAGAGAATAAGTATTTGAATGAAATTCAAACCAAGTTTTCAAAGACTCTGGATGTCTTTCAGATCTCCAGGGAAAACCATGACCCCTATTACTTTCTTTAGAAATCTCTACATTCACCAGCTTTAGGCCTAAAGTTCACTAGTTGGGCCAAGGAGACTACTTGCTAAAATTACAACTTGGAAAAGAACAGCTTGAGTCTTCAGTACCAAGGGAACTTGAAAAGGGAATGGAATGTATCAATGGTCTTACCAATATTGCTATGCTGGTGGAAGACATTTACCTTCTCCAAATTTTTAAGTCATTCATCAAAACATATACACAGATCTTGACCAGTAGAAAGTTTCCACAACAACCAAAGTCAAATGGGAACCATCAATGTGACTCAGGTGCAGGGAAACTCAGGTGTCACCAATAGTGCCACTTATAAAGTCTGAAAGAACAAGCATAAAGCCTTTGAGATTTTCAATGGATCTCCAAAGGCCAAAATCCAGTGCCAGAACCCAGAGCGCCTGTTGGAAGAAAAAAAATGATTATGTGCCCTGTCCCAGTCTGTAATAAAGCTCCTATGAACACAGCCAAGCATTCTACTAGCAAACCTCAAAAAGCTGCATCCAATAGGGAGAGAAAAAGGCCAAAAGGATCAGAGAACAAACCCTAAAAAAAGTGAAGAAAAGAATCCCTCAGGATACAAAGTGAAAATAGAAGACAAACACTGAGAATATAAAGTGTAAGAGAAATCAACCTGGGCTTAGCCAAGAGATATTCAAAAACCTTTGAAGCCATGTAGGCATGAAATATGGGAGTTAGTGTAGGGTTTCCACACACTAGGAAAGAAGAATGATAGGACTGAGCTGTCTTCTTCCATGGCTTTGAAAACTGCAAGCAGCACCAAAAAGACACCAAGTTTTCCCCAACTATCAAATCATGGCTGGATACTGCAAGAGAAGGCAAAGATCCTAAAGATATTGAAGTCAAGAAAAGGGATAATAGTGCTGAAAGCCAGTGTCCATCACCAACACAGGATGAGCTGCCTCCTCCTGGGATAGTCAAGCTGGTTCCTTTGCCTTTTCTAACCCCAGAGAAGCCTCAAGCTCTACCTGTTTCTTGCAGGCCAGTCTCTGGCCTCCTGGAGACCCAGTATAACTTACCCTGCCTGACCTCATTCTAATGCAGCTTAACCTACCACAGTCAGCTTAGCTCAACCAGCTACTGCCAACATATTTCATGAGTTACTAAAACATCTCAGTCAATCACAACCAGTACAACCACACAGGAATTGACCAACACTCCTCAGCCTAGTGTGTCCCAGTCTGCGGTTGCTAGACCTGAACCTCAAACATCATCTTCCACTTCTCTCCAGCACAAGCCTGTTTTGAATGCTGAAATCAGTATCTACTCCAAGATTCCAACTGCCAACCAATTCCATGGAGGAAAACCAATATTTCTGTGCCCATTACCAAGGAACAAAGGCCAGACCATGAAGCCATGGAAAAGCAGGCTCAACAATGTGTGAGAATGCTGCTGCTTTGGGGAGTTGCCGTTTTTTGTTCAGAGGCAAAAAGATATGGAAGTTTCTTGATACGATGGCTATGCAATGAAAGAGCTGCTAAGATTGTGGGTGCCACCTTGAGTACCAGATGCTTCCAAACTTAGATATGAAGACAGATATATACAATAATGGGACATATAGATAGATTGATTGATCTAGATACATAGATAATTATAGAAAAATTCTCTATTCTCATTTTTTTCAAACATAAAAATGAACACTGAATGTAATATAATTGAACAAATTGTGTTTTGATATATGGCTCCAGTTTGGCTTCTTTTGAGTAGAGTTTAGGATCAAAGGCTGTATTGGAAAAAAAGAACAAGGATAACATGGTAGGGGAAAGAGAAAAGTTAAGGACAGAAGAAGGAATATGGTCTGAGTGTAGGAAAGCCAAAAGAGCAGAGATTATACAGACTTCAAAAATGAATCCTGGAGGGAAAAACTGGGAGACAGTGAAGTAAGGGGGGACATTGCCCAAAAAGAAGTTCACTCATTCCCTGACTTATATAACTGTAACTCCTCTGTATAGCACCTTTATAATAACAATGACAAAATAATTTTTAAAGGTGAGCGGAAAAAAGATGAACCATGGGTAGGAAACTAATAAGAGGCAAAAACTCAGAATTAAAGAACAAAACTTAGAAAATGTCTAAGTGCAGAAGATGGATTTAGTTTGATCTGAGAAATGAAAGCCAATCTCTTATAGAGAATAGCCTTATGTCTCATGAACCATCGGATAAAACATTAGAATCCACATACAATATGATTCTGATGGCTCACCCCTGTAATCACAGTAGGAAACAGAGTATTGGCTCAAGTAATGGAGCACTATCTTTTAGCCCAAACACTAAGAGACAGCACCCTTGTCTTTAGTTCAAACACCAGTACTGGCATGCTCATACATACATGTGTGCGCACGTGTATGCATGCATACACACACACACTTTACAAAGTAAAATGCAGCACACAATTCCAAGAGGTTTTAGCTATTTAGGATTAGATGTGGGAAAGGTGAATACCAAACATAGGAAAATTTACCCCAGAAGAAATAAGGGATCAGTTATTCTGATTACAGCATCTAACCTGGGGCCTAGCCAACTGAACTTCATTAGCATGAGGTTGACTCAGATCATGGCCTGAACATAAGTTGCCATTCATTCAACATCCATGTCCAAGGATGCAAAATGTATTACTTCAATTAACCTTCAAATACACAAGACTAGACTAGTACAACTGTTCTCTTGATTAGTGAGGGTCAGCTGTTGGCTGAATCACGTTACATACAAAGGTTCAAAGCCTCCATTGGAGGTTTATTCCCCTAGCTGCCCAATCTGACCTTCAGAGTACAACATCTAGAGGTTATGTGTGAACAAGATCAAACAACAAATACTAAACAAGGGTCTGTGTCCTCCTCCACAAATCCTGTTGCATGTTGCCATCTCCAACCGTTGACATTAACTGATTAGCAAAAAAAAAAAAAAAATCAAACATCCATTTCCAGTCAAGACACCATGCATGTGTAGTTGAGTCTCCTTCCTGGCTGCAAGATTCAATGCCCAACTGCTGGATTGACCCAACTGGATTGAGAGGAGATGGTGAGTAATGGGGGAGGAGAAGAAAAGAATAGAATAGAAAAGGAGATAGGGTGGAGAGCTGTCACCATTGCAAAATTAAAGATACTTCTTGAGATAATTAAGTTCACCATTTCAAATTGTACAATTTAGTGGCATAATATTAGATTCCTGAAAACACCACTACATTTTTTTGCTTTTTTATGCTAGTACTAGGGTGTGAACTTAGGGCTTGTGTTCTTGCTCAAGACCCACCTGGGGAATGAGTCAGCTCCTTCTTTCTGGGTAAGGAGATTCTGGTCTTCATAACCTGTACTATGATCTTGCAGGCATAATTTGTGCCACAAATAAGCTAAGTAAAGAACTTGGCTATCAGAGTTTGCCTCCTGTCTTGAATGTCATGCGGCTATCAGTCTTAGACACCATCTTGTAACCACCGTCTGTGGGATGCTTCATGCTGCCATGATATCCAACAGAAAAGATGTCTTGCTGGATAGTGCAAAATGACTGAATCATCCCTATTAATCTTTTATTTTCACATCCATTGCCATAGCATTTCATTGTTTTTTCCATGGAACATTTGCACTGTCCAGACAAAATGTTGTATATATATCTGGAACATTACGTATCTCATGTCACATATGAACATTCAACATAAGGCCTTATCTGATCCTGTCTCCCCCTAAGAGACACTAAGTGATTGGTTTGATTCCTTTGGCTCCCAGTAGGGAAAATATTTCTGTTACTATATTTGAATAATGGATTTCTGTTTCTTTTGTGCTGCTCTTTACAAGTTAAACAAATAGCCTCTTAGGATGATGTTTCCCCATAACTAAAACCCACTTGAGACTCAGAAAGTATCATGGAGGCCAGTGCAGACAGGAATAAGCTTATGAGATTAATAATTGGCTTAAGAGCCAGTTACTATCCATAGTCTATATAGATTTATATCGACAAGAATAAAGTCATTATGAAAAAAAAGATAAAAGGAATAAAGTCATCTTGAAGTATAAAAACATCAGGAGTACTCAGTGCTAACCCTAGCTGTTCCTGCATAGTTTCTCCACAAACTATAATGAGACAAACCCAAAAAACTGGCATGTTGAGTTTTACAATAGCATCCTTGTTCCAGAATATGCTTGATAATTGGGAGTTAAGGTACACCAATTACCTTCAACGAGAATGTTGTCCTTTTTGTTGTAGTCCTCGTATACATGCCTCTCTTTCTGAACTCACTTGTGGGGTCTTAACTGGTCTTGCTGCCACATGAGCAATCTTCTGTCTGTACATCCTGAAATAAATACTCCACTGATCAATTCTGAGAAAAAAAAGGAGCTACCGAAACTGGCAACTTGGACAAGTTAAATTGTATTTGCCTAAATAGAACTGAATGTTGAAACTCAATATTTGAATATGTTAAAATTGCATGGTTATAAAAGTAAGCTTAATATATGCTATATAAGGATCTGGAAGCCTGGAATGCAGCTTAGTGGCAAAGTGCTTGCCTAGCAAGTATAGTGTCCTCAGTACCAAAAAAGAAAAAGACATGCATGCATACGTACATACATACATACATGCATGCATGCATGCATACATACATACATACATACATACATACATACATACATACATACATACAAACATACATACGGATCTGGAATTCCCTCAGAGGCCCATAGGTCAAAGGCTTATTTCCCACCATGGTGTGACTGGGAGTTGGTGGAAACCTCAGTAGGAGAGTGGGGGGTGGGGGGTGGCTAGTGGAATGGACTCAGGTCATTGGTTGCCTGCCTTTGTTAGTAATAATGAAATCCAGCTCCTGCTCTTCCTTCTCTCTCACCCTCTCCTTTGTGCAGGCCAGGAGGTATGCAATTGTTCATCACACGTTCTTTACTGGGATATACTCCCTTGTCATAGGCTCCAAAAGCAAAGGGGCCAACTGAACATGGGCTGAAATCCCCAGCATTTTCAGCCAAACTAAACCTCTCCTTTGAGAAGATGATTGTCTCAGTTGTTTATTACAATAACAAATAGCTGTCCAATAGCACTCTCCTCCCAATCTTCTACCCTACATTGTAGTAGCTGCACATGACCTTGAATCTCTATAGGAACACAGAGAAAAGAGAGATTGGTCTGGCTTGCATATTTTTGGTATGTGTTATTAGCTTTGAATTACATACCAGTATTATGGAAGCAGCCCTCCTCAAGTACGAAACTGTGATAAAGGGACAATAAAACCTTAAAAACTTCATCTTGTAAGCCATATCTTTAAATTTTCAAATCTTCTAACTTGGTTCTAAATAAGCTTCAAATCAGACAGGACTGCTGAAAGAATTCACATCTCAAAAAAACTTGACAAAAAAAAGA